TACTAAGAAATTTACTCTGTACCAAAAATTGCAATGATATCCCAATTTTACCAACTTCAAGAACTTAAGATTTTTGAATAAGCGATATGTCAAAAGAAAGTGCGTTTCTGATGGATTAAAATGAGGTATACAAAACTGTCGTAGCTTAAAACTGCCAAAGTTATTCGCAGGAATAGGGAAATACAATATACTAAGAAATTTACTCTGTACCAAAAATGATATCCCAATTTTACCAACATTAAGAACTTAAGATTTTTGAATAAGCGATATGTCAAATAAAAAAGTGCGTTTCTAATGGATTAAAATGAGGTATACAAGACTGTCGTAGCTTGAAAACTGGTCAGAGTTATTTGCAGGAATAGGGAAAATACAATATACTAAGAAATTTACTCTGTACCAAAAATTGCAATGATATCCCAATTTTTCCAACTTTAAGAACTTAAGATTTTTTTTATAAGCGATATGTCAAAAGAAAGTGTGTTTCTTATGGATTAAAATGAGGTATACAAAACTGTCGTAGCTTGAAAACTGTCAAAGTTGTTTGCAGGAATAGGGAAATACAATATACAAAGAAATTTACTCTGTACCAAAAATTTTAAAATTGCAATGATATCCCAATTTTTGCAACTTTAAGAACTTAAGATTTCGATGAGCGATATGTCAAAGAAAGTGCGTTTCTTATGGATTAAAATGAGGTATACAAAACTGTCGCAGCTTGAAAACTGTCAAATTTATTTGCAGGAATAGGGAAAATACAATATACTAAGAAATTTACTCTATACCAAAAATTGCAATGATATCCCAATTTTACCAATTTTAAGAACTTAAGATTTTTGAATAAGCTATATGTCAAAAGAAAGTGCGTTTCTTATGGATTAAATTGAGGTATACAAAACTGTCGTAGCTTGAAAACTGTCAAAGTTATTTGCAGGGATAGTGAAAATACAATATACTAAAAAATTTACTCTGTACCAAAAATTGCAATGATATCCCAAATTTTCCAACTTTAAGAACTTAAGATTTTTGAATAAGCGATATGTCAAAAGAAAGTGCGTTTCTTATGGATTAAATGAGGTATACAAAACTGTCGTAGCTTGAAAACTGTCAAAGTTATTTGCAGGAATAGGGAAAATACAACATACTAAGAAATTTACTCTGTACCAAAATTTGCAATGATGACCCAATTTTTCCAACTTTAAGAACTTAAGATTTTTGAATAAGCGATATGTCAAAAGAAATTGCGTTTCTTATGGATTAAAATGAGGTATACAAAACTGTCGTAGCTTGAAAACTGTCAAAGTTATTTGCAGGAATAGGGAAAATACAATATACTAAGAAATTTACTCTATACCAAAAATTGCAATGATATCCCAATTTTACCAATTTTAAGAACTTAAGATTTTTACAATACAATATACTAAGAAATTTACTCTGTACCAAAAATGATATCCCCAATTTACCAACTTTAAGAACTTAAGATTCTTGAATAAGCGATATGTCAAAAAAAGTGCGTTTCTAATGGATTAAAATGAGGTATACAAGACTGTCGTAGATTGAAAACTGTCAGAGTTATTTGCAGGAATAGGGAAAATACAATATACTAAGAAATTTACTCTGTACCAAAATTGCAATGATATCCCAATTTTACCAATTTTAAGAACTTAAGATTTTTGAATAAGCGAGATGTCAAAAGAAAGTGCATTTCTTATGGATTAAAATGAGGTATACAAAACTGTCGCAGCTTGAAGACTATCAAAGTTATTTGCAGGAATAGGGAAAATACAATATACTAAGAAATTCACTCTGTACCAAAAATTGCAATGATATCCCAATTTTACCAATTTTAAGAACTTAAGATTTTTGAATAAGCGATATGTCAAAAGAAAGTGCGTTTCTGATGGATTAAAATGAGGTATACAAGACTGTCGTAGATTGATAACTGTCAGAGTTATTTGCAGGAATAGGGAAAATACAATATACTAAGAAATTTACTCTGTACCAAAAATTGCAATGATGACCCAATTTTTCCAACTTTAAGAACTTAAGATTTTTGAATAAGCGATATGTCAAAAGAAAGTGCGTTTCTTATGGATTAAAATGAGGTATACAAAACTGTCGTAGCTTGAAAACTGTCAAAGTTATTTGCAGGAATATGGAATATACAATATACTAAGAAATTTACTCTGTACCAAAAATTGCAATGATGACCCAATTTTTCCAACTTTAAGAACTTAAGATTTTTGAATAAGCGATATGTCAAAAGAAAGTGCGTTTCTGATGGATTAAAATGAGGTATACAAAACTGTCGTAGCTTGAAAACTGTCAAAGTTATTTTCAGGAATAGGGAAAATACAATATACTAAGAAATTTACTCTGTACCAAAAATTTTAAAATTGCAATGATATCCCAATTTTACCAACTTTAAGATCTTTAGATTTTTGAATAAGCGATATGTCAAAAGAAAGTGCGTTTCTTATGAATTAAAATGAGGTATACAAAACTATCGTAGCTTGAAAACTGTCAAAGTTATTTGCAGGAATAAAGAAAATACAATATTCTAAGAATTTTACTCTATACCAAAAATTGCAATGATATCCCAATTTTACCAATTTTAAGGACTTAAGATTTTTGAATAAGCGAGATGTCAAAAGAAAGGGCATTTCTTATGGATTAAGATGAGGTATACAAAACTGTCGTAGCTTAAAAACTGTCAAAGTAATTTGCAGGAATAGGGAAAATACAATATACTAAGAAATTTACTCTGTACCAAAAATTGCAATGATGACCCAAATTTTCCAACTTTAAGAACTTAAGATTTTTGAATAAGCGATATGTCAAAAGAAAGTGCGTTCCTTATGGATTAAAATGAGGTATACAAAACTGTCGTAGCTTGAAAACTTTCAAAGTTATTTGCAGGAATAGGGAATATACAATATACTAAGAAATTTACTCTGTACCAAAAATTGCAATGATGACCCAATTTTTCCAACTTTAAGAACTTACGATTTTTGAATAAGCGATATGTCAAAAGAAAGTGCGTTTCTGATGGATTAAATGAGGTATACAAAACTGTCGTAGCTTGAAAACTGTCAAAGTTATTTTCAGGAATAGGGAAAATACAATATACTAAGAAATTTACTCTGTACCAAAAATTTTAAAATTGCAATGATATCCCAATTTTACCAACTTTGTTGAGGCCCGCGACAGCGCCTCCGAGACAGCAGATGAAGACTGCCTTGACTTGGACATAGAGCCCCTACTTTAAATGTGCCCCTTCTGCTCGCTACGCTTCTGAATGGTGCTTAAGGAGATTGACAGGTGTCAAAAACTGACGTCCTGTCAATCAACTTAAGCGCCATTGCAGTTTTTTTCTTTATTAAAAAAACCTCAGCAGCGTCAGCAGCAAACAAACCCTAAAACCCAAACCTGAAAATAAAGGAAGTTATAACGTTTAACCAAACCTGTGTTCTTACTCACCTTGAACCACAAGTAAGTGCAACCTGCATTTTATTTCCAAAGTTAATTATTTGTAAATAATTAACTTTGGTTTTGTGTTGTTTCAACTACGTTGAAACAGCTCCAACAACAAATTTCCCTACTAGAGACAGAAATTTGTTTATGGTCCTTAAAAGCCTTTGTATTGAACTGGTGACCAAACAGTAGTTTAATTATCTGAAATTATTTTTTTTTTCCTTTTCGTTTTTGAGCTTTAAATATTCTCACATTTTTTTGTTTTGTTTCTTGGCACATTAAAATAATCAAAAATAAAAACACATACATATGTACGTACATCCATTGTTGTTTTAAAGTGGGAAATAACCAACAATCAAAGTGCGGTTGATTTTAGAATTGTTTAAACCCAGTAAATTTATTATTTATAAAATACTACTACGTGGTAATTCATAAATATTTAACAAAAAAAAAAACATACATTATAAAATAGTTCCGCGCATTTACAGTGCCAGCGGTCATTCAAATAAGTAAGGTTCTATAAATCGACTCTAAAACAAAGTCGAAAAATCAACTATCTTGTAAGAAATAAGTCGAAGAATCAATTTCACAAAAAAAAAAAGTCGACTATTTATTAGACGCAAAAAAGTCGAAAACCTGACTTTTCATAAATAGCAAAAAGTCGAAAAGTCAACTTTTTTTGATTCAACTATAGAACCGTACAAAGAAGTATTTGAACTAAATTATATTGTATTTTCCGCGCAATTTTACAAATTGCCTGCGGTTCTTATAGAAATAATAATAGTAAAAGGAAAATTGGTCATACCTTTTGCAATATTTGTTTAATTAATCTATATGCTATTACTAAAACTAGCTGAGGTTTTATATAAGATTGAAAATTTATAACAACCAAGTTATTACGTAAATACATCGCGAATCCATTGCGATTTCATTTTAACAATTAGTTATTTTATTAATATATTTTGATGATAAATTTGTCAAAGTTACTACGTAACGTAAAAGAGTGATAAATTCGGAAAGTTTAATTTCTAAATTACTACTACGTGGTAATTGGACGAAATTTAAGAACAAGTTACTACGTAACAGAGAAAAAATTTTTTTGCTAATCAATGACATTTTCATTTTACAATAACCAAGTTATTACGTAAAATAAGTGTTTCATAGCAAATTCTTTCCGATTTCATTTTAACTGTTAATCAGTTTAATAATAAATTCAAATTAACAAATTTGCAGTTAAGTTACTACGTAACGTAAAAAAGCGCTTAATTTGAAAATTTTAACTTCTAAATTACTATTATTATTATTATTTATTTATTTATTAATAGATTTCAAAATATTGTTTTTACATATTCATTGTTTACAATTATTTGAAGGATTTTTTTTTATTTTAATCTATATAGGCTTTACGTTATATATATGTGTTAGCCTGATTGGCCAAAATATTTTAGGATTTAGTTATTTTACAAAAATAAAATACAATATTAATATAATTTTTTTTTAAATAATACTTGTTAATATGTATATTAAGTCTATGCATTGAATTCATTTGCAATTAACATACGATACCTTAATGCTGATTCAGTATATTTATAGAGAGAATAAAAATTAGAGCCATTTAGTAAATTTAGAACTTCGTATAAGTAAAGGTGAATTTTCCCAAAGAAGTATTTCCTAATGTCTTTATAAATTGGACAAACACCTATAAAGTGGTAGGTGTTCTCCACTTCATCTAAATTACACATAGTACAGCTGGTATCTATATTTGTACAGTAAGCTCTTCCATTTAAATTAAGTAAACCACATCTCACTTTCATAAGCAGGCAAGTAGCACGAGTTGAATATTCTGCAGCAAAAATAGGGATAACATTATAATTGAGTAGGGAATACATATCATGATGAGAGTTCTCTGCGCTTAGTACATATTCACCGTGTTCTTTTGTTTTCATTAGCTCAACTATTATATTACTGTATGTACAAAGAGGGTTATTGTTATTTTCAGGTATAAATTGTAGGGATCGACTGATAAGTGTCCACTCGTTAGCCCAGAAAACATTTTGTGATATGACAGCTTGTGCAAGGATACGTGGTAACCTTTGTGAATGCATATTTAGTACTTTATTTATATATGCAAAATGGAGTTTTAGAGTCGAAATATATAAAGAGTCCAGACCAGTTTCTAGATGTAACATGTAGTTTGGCGTTGTGCTAGGAAGATATAGCATCTTTTTAATAAAAAATCTGAAGAGTTTTTCGACTATATCATATTTGGTATAGCCCCAGATTTGGGCGGCATAAAACATTATGGACCGAGAAGCAGATTGAAATATTTTTAGTTTATTGTTTTTGGAGATTTTAGGGTTATTAATATATTTAGACCACGTAGTATTAATAGCCAATTTGGAAGCTGAAAGTTTATTTTTTAAATGGTTATTGAAAGAAAGATTGAAATTAATATCAACTCCCAGATATTTGTAGCTATTGACTATTTCCACATCTTCATCTCCATAGTGCCATTTCAATGATCTTGAGATTCTCGGACTTGAACGAAATACAATTATCTTTGATTTTGTTAGGTTAGCTTTTTAAACACCAGATTTGGCAGTATTTATGTAATGCATTTATCATTTTTTGAAGAGCTGGTGGGGAGTCAGATAGGATAACAATATCGTCGGCGTAAAGAAGAATCTTAATAGTTATACCAGCAACATTAACACCACATGGAAGTTCATCAGCCAGATCATTCACATACAAAGAGAATAAAATTGGACTAAGGATGCACCCTTGCTTTACACCAGTATCAAAAATAAAAGAGTCAGAAAAAGAGTCACCGTCCCAAATACAACTTGAGGTGTTTTTGTAGGAGTTTTGCAAAATTCTTATTATTTTGGATGACAGTCCCATACACGACAGTTTATAAAATAAACTATTTCTGGGAATTGTGTCAAAAGCACATGAAAATCCACAAAAAAGGCGTATGTGTTATTTCCATTCAGTTTGTTCAGGTTTACAATGTTAACCAGGTTAAAAATGTTATCAACAGTGGAATAGTTATTTCTGAAGCCAGCTTGATATTCCTTCAATATGTTGTTCACCTCAATCCATTCAGTTATTCTATTCAGCAAAATTGAGCTAAAAATTTTACAAATAGTGTTAATTAAAGATAGCCCCCGATAGTTAGATGTAACATCAGGATCACCTTTTTTATATAAAGGTATTAAAATAGATTTGCGAAAACTGGAGGGAATAGTCTCATATAAAAATATTTTATTGTAGAGGGTTAGTAGTAAGTTAATGAAGCAACCAGGAGCATATTTGTAAAACTCGTAAGCTATACCATCTTCACCAGGAGACTTGTTTGATTTTAGTTTTTTCAGAACAGATACAATTTCACAGTGTTCAATTGGTGAATCCAAAAAGGGGTTGGTGATGTAAGGCATGGACCACAAAATTGGTTGATTATTTGCAGAATTTTGTAGCAGTGAACTAAAATAAGTTAGGAAGTCTTCTGCTTTCAGGTTACCCGTAGTATTAGGTTTGAAAGATTTCATAGAATTTGATAAACTCCACCATTCACTACAATTCCTTACTCTATGTAGTAAACTTAAATTTTTATTGTAGTATTCGAGTTTCTTGTTGTTACACAATCTTATATATTTCTGTTTAGCGCATAAGTAACTTATTTTATCAACATTTGTATGATTTTTTCTGAAGTGCTTAAGTGCATTTAACATATGGTTTCGGTAGCGGAAACATTTCCAGTCAAACCATTTCTGTTTGGGTTCAAAAATCTTTTTATTTGATGTTAACACAGCGGCTTGTTTTATTTTCGATGTAATTAAACTAACGATATCATCAATGGGAATATCGGATTGAAGATCAATGTTTGTAGATAGTACTGTGATATTCTCCACATATTTCGCCAAATGTTTGCTATCCCAGCGTAATTTATTTATAGTGGATTTTACATTATTATATTATTAATAGGACATTTATTTTCAAACATAAAGGCATGTGGTCTGAGTATGGTTTGGATGAAATAGCAAAGTCATCAACATATTGGAGAAAACTATGTGAGCATATAAAGTAATCAATGACAGAATTGCCCATTACACCGCAAAAACTATACTCTCCATCTGCATCGCCATCAGTCCTACCGTTAAGTATGATACCACCTACGTTTTCCACAAAATCCATAAGTTTTTTACCCTGAGTATTATATATTTTGTCTTTAGAGCATCTATATTCTCGAATATTGGGAAATTTTTGTAAAAAATGTTCATCCACAAATTGTTCATCAGAAATTCTCGCATTTAGATCTCCAAAAACGCAGAAGTTTGTTGGATTAAGATCATACATTAACTTTTCAAGTGCATCCATATCCGATTGCCAGTTTGAACAGTTCAGATACCTTGGTATTAAATAATATAAACATTTACCAAACTTAGCAGATAGTACTACACTATCATTTATATTTTGAAACTTAAAATGGAATTGGCTTTGTAACTCTTTTTTGAATCCATATAGACACCCACCGCTTGCTCGACCAGCTCTTTGAGTTTTCTTCGCAGGAATCCATTGTAGGCAATAATTTTTGAAATAGGTTGTGTACAGATATTGGTTTTCAGATAATACATGTGTTTCAAACAGGAAAAATAATTCAAACATATTTATATAAGATATAAAATTACCGAATTTTATTGAATTCGCTAAATTAGCTACATTATACGACAATAAATGGCATTTACTAAATTGCTATTGAGTTGATGGGGCTTGCATAGGTGTATCCTCCCTGACAGAAATTGCCACAGGATAATTGCTTTCTGACAATATTTTTTCCAAGAATTCAGCATTAATCTTTGAGGATGCCATTATCTTTCCACCAGACCATATATACTTTCGATCGTCTATAAAAATACAAAATTCACTCAGTCTTACTTTGACCGATTTATTCCTGTTTGTAATATTTCTGCTTAACTGTCGTAAGTTATAACGTACATTTTGTTCATCCTCAGTATAATCCTTATGTATGAATATATTTTGGCCAGATAATTTAGATTTGGCGGCAATTATATTGTACGCTTGAAGACTCGTCTCTAATGTGAAACAAACTGATCTCCCCCCGGAGAACAAACGAGTTGTTACTATGTGAACATTGACATTTAGTACATCCGTACATAGTTTTATAAACTCAGTCTTAACAGAATTTGCAGTTCTAACATTTAAGCCGGAGACAATGATATTTGGTGAACGACATTTTCGATCAATAAACTCAAGACGGGATGTTAATTTTTTAATATCATTTTTTAGTTTTAAATTTTCTTCCTTTAATTCCTCAAAATCCATCTTAAGTGCAACTAAATCAGCCTTCCTTGTTACATCTTTTAATTTATCATCCAACAGACTACATAATTTATCCCAGAAGGATGCATCTTGAGGATTAATTGGGTTGTCAGTTTGCATGTTATCAGAGCTTACAAATTTTTTATTATTATTTCTTGCGGGTGTAATCTGGTGATGTTAAATGTATAGATCTCTTATTATTCATTTGATCCGCAGCATACTTTTAGGCATACTCAGTAATTAAATAAACTTGGCAGCACTTTATATGTATGTATACTAGACAGATGTTAATTAAATGGCAGCAAATCAAACAATATACAAAGCAAATGTGTGATAGTTGATTATAATTTAATGATCCCCACCTTAGTATTATAATATAATGAGAGTGATGGGACCAATATAATATACTACTATTCACGATTAAAGTTGTTTCGGGTTCTTCCCTAGTGGTATTATCAATGATTCAATAGTGAGACACCGGCCGTGAGCAGCAACACATCAATTGTAAGATTATGGGGAAAACAATTACTATCAGTAGTAAGGCAGCTTAGTGACATTCCACACAGTATTCCCGAACAGCATACGTTGAATTATTAATACTGCTAATTTCTGAACCAGATTTATAAATTTTTCTTTTGTTATAATATTTTATTTTATTATTTTAACGCAGAAAAATTTTTTTACTTTTTGACACTTCAAAAACAATGTTGCCAATCTTCTAAATTACTACTACGTGGTAATTGGAAATATTTTAAGAATAAGTTTACTACGTAACGGGAAAAAATATAAAAAGTCTGCTAAACCTTAGCAATTCACTTTATTGATCAGTTGGTAATAATTGAGCATATTTACTAATAAACCATCGGTCAAATTAAAGTTCAACATATAATGGGTAGTCAAGCTCACTCAAATTTGTCATAGAGACAGATAATTTATTTGATGAATGCGAAAGTTTCTCAAAATTGCATGCAGAAGATTTAACAGAATCTTTGGTAGAGGCAAAATTAGAATCTTTAGAGGAAGACTGGAAGACGATTCGAACATCCTATGAGGCGATATATAGTGCGGCAGATTCCTTAATATCGCCCGAATTTAAAGAGTTATCACGAACTAGGTTTCGAGAATGTAGAGAGAAATATCAGTTGACAAAAGCGAGTATGAATGACCTCTTAAAAGCTGCAAAGAGCCCACCTACAGTACAAACTGACCCATATCATTCTTCTACATTAGGTGGCTCATCATTTTATCCAATGAATACTACATTCGACTTATCAGAAGTAGGGTTACGTGTTCCTGCTTGTGATATTAAGGTCTTTAATGGTAGTTATGAAGAGTGGCCAGCATTTAGGGATATGTTTTCGGTTCTCTATCATACAAATCCAAGAGTATCGCAGGTTGAAAAGTTTTTCCACTTGCTAAACAAAACTTCGGGAGATGCATTGGCAATTGTTCGAAAATTCAGTTTGTCGGAACAGAACTATATGCCAGCTTGGAACGCTTTAAAGTCGAGATATGAGAACAAAAAATTTTTAGTAGAAATTCAGATGAAAACTCTATTTAATTTAGAGCCAGCCAAATCAGAGAATAGTGTCGATATTAACAGGATAAGAACAACTATATGTGATTGTTTATCAATGTTAATAGGACATGGTATACGAGTGGACCAATGGGATCCAATTTTGGTATATTTGTGCAGTACAAAATTATCTATTCAAACCATTACTGCTTGGGAAGAGTCTTTAGAATCCGATTCTGATTTGCCATCCTGGCATCAAATGGATACTTTTTTAAAA